ATCAACCAACACCTACGCTAGAGAGGACAAATGTTGTGTACCGTTTTATGTGCCCTATGCCACACAGTGTTGTGGAGAGTTATATCGGACACACACGTACTACTCTCTCTCGTAGACTTACAATGCATATACAGGATGGTGCAATAAAGAACCATATGGTTAGTGAACACCATATGCCTCTCACCAGGACCATTTTGGATTCGAATACTACGATACTTGACACTGAAATGCATCCTGGTCGACTTAAAATCCGTGAGGCCCTGTATATCAACAAACATAAACTCACTTTGAACAAGCAATCAAGCAATTTCGACCACATCCTACAACTATTTTCTCAATACCGGGATCAGGCTCTACTGTGTAACGTTGTACGTGAGCAACTGTACTTGCCTGTATCACCAAAATATGAATATCATTCGCAGGCAGACAGCTTTCTACCGGTCAATACACAATTTATAAGTGTACGTCGGAAATCTACTACACTTACATCTTTAACTACTCTATTACAGTCTTAATTAAATTCAATTCCCATTACATAATTCATAGTACATTTATCGTATTTCATTTTATTTACTAACTTATTTATTTTAGTTTATTTTATTCCTACATACATTTTATAACCACATAATCTTAGTTATGCATTTAATTTGTGTAGAATATACTTAGCGTTCCATAATATTTTTATACTAGTGATTACACCACATTCATCACACACGTATTTCCTATTCTTCCAACTTTCCAGTTTTAGTTTCATTTATTTAACCTTTTATTAATTAGTACTTTTATTTAATTTCATGTTTTAGTATTAAATTTATCTTTTAGGTTACATCCTTCGCAAGGTACCATTTTAACTTCACTTTCAATTCCAATTTTATTTTTAATATCTTATCTATCATGTTGTCCGCTAAATAATTTACATAATTCGTTTAATTCTCATTTATTTTAATTAAATTTCTTATATTTCATTGGTTTTAGGCTCTGATGATGGCTACTTAGCCGAAACAACGTTGTCAGCTTCTAATATGTCACAATTTCACAATAAATATGAATGTCAAAAACTACGCTGTGTTGAGTCCATAATAAAAAAGTTGATAAATGCAAAATGGGCAAATAAATTTAACAAAATATATATATATATGCAATAATTTATGAAATTTACAGAATTTCTAGCGTTGGATAGTTTTTTATTACATTTCTCAGTATTTCGAACCAAATTCTTGTCATCATTATTTATTTTTTTAACGTTAGAATATTATACAGTTTTCAATACCTATATATATTGTATGAATATAGTATAAAATATGGTCTCCTTCCAACACACACACACACATATATAATATAATATATATTTGTATAATATATATAATATATATATAACATATATAATATATATATATATGTGTGTGTATATAAAACCAGTCTGATAAAATTGTGCATGAGGGTAGGTTGCTTCCCTATTGTAAACATGCAATCGTTGTGCCGTTACTGAAAAAAGTGGTACAGATCCAAGTGATGTCAATAATTATTGACGTGTCAGTAATCTGTCATTTATATCAAAACTCATTGAAAGAATGGTGTCGAGACAACTACTTGCTCATTTGAATGATAATAATATAATTCCTGCACATCAATAAGGTTTTGGACAATTTCACTCCACTGAAACCTCGCTGCTACATGTTTTCTCAAAGGTTTATAGTGAGATGGATGCTCAAAACATTTCCTTGTTGGCATTTCTGGACATAAACTCGGCTTTCTACTGTGTCAGTCATGAAATGTTAACGCTCAGGCTGCATCAAAGTTTTGGATTATCTGGAGAAATAATACATTAGCTCAGAAGCTATCTGATTGGTCGAACACAGCAGGTTTCGTTCAACGGATGTTTGTCCTACGTCAGTGTGGTTCTCTCTGGTGTGCCGCAGGGATCTGTTTTGGCCCTTTATTGTTCCTGCTTTATACATCTGATGTGTTGAAGATAATTGATTCTTATGATTTTACAAGCCACGCATATGAAGACGACATTCAAATTACGTTATCCCGTAAACCGACCTACATGATTACGAGATTCATTGAATGTATGCCAGAGGTTAATCTGTGGATATCAAAAAATGAATTGAAGCTTAACCAGGGTAAAACAAAATTTCTTCCTATTGGTACCTGGCAGCAGTTGGCAGACTCGTTGTTGCCCATAAATAAAAGAGTTGTTTTTAAAATCTCTGTCACGGTTTTTAAAATCACTAAACGGTCTGTCTCCAAAATATTTATCAAATAAACTGAAATTAAAAACGTTGATCGCATCTGGTGTGCGTCTAAGGTCGGACGATTCGAACATTCTTGTAATTTCTCATAGACAGCTAAAGATTGGATCGCATGATTTTGCTGTGTCAGGCCCTGACGTATGGAACGGCTTGCCGTCAGCCCTCAGAATGAACATTGCTAAATTTAAAAGACAATTAAAGACATACCTTTTTTCATTATAGTTCATCTCTTTTCATTCTTGCTATTTTGTGCGTCTGAGGTCTGACGATTCGAACATTTTTGTGGTTCCTCATGGACAGCTAAAGATTTGATCACGTAATTTTGCCGTTTCAGGCCCTGTCGTATGGAACGGCTTGCCGTCAGCCCTCAGAATGCCTGAATGAACATTGCTGAATTTAAAAGACAATTAAAGACATACCCTTTTTTTATTATAGTTCAATTCTTTTTTATTTTTGATATGATTAATAGTTATAATTTGATAGCGTTTGTGAAAACTGCTATAACAAACGCTATATTAAGTTTTTTTCTATATTTAAGTTTTATATATATATTATATATATATATATATGTTGGTAATAGATCATAATTTTTACAATATTCTATAAATTCTACCGAGTGTTTGGCGTTAATATGTTTGTAGTTCGATTTTTCTCACTAAAGTTTTTTGGTGAACGTTTAGTTTATTAAAATTCAAAATAAA